GATTATTATTTTAAATAAGTACTAAACTAATTAAGACATCATTTTACAATGAAAAATCTAAGTGGCGTTTTATTGAAGCTAATACTTCAATTACTTCATCTTCTGTAACTGGAACTTCTCGGTGTATGTTAAGAACCGCTAATCCATTTAACCTGGTTTCAGAAGTCGAGTTCCTCAAATATGTTTTGATTCGCTTCAGTGAAGAAAATGACCTTTCTGACTCACAAGATTTAACTGGGAGTACAGCAAGGATGTGCAATAAATTATAAATATTTGGTTAGAAGTCCTGATTACATATAAGTAACGCATCTAATGCATTCTGAGGTTTAATATTATTTGTATTTAAATATCTGTGCCATAAATCAACCTCAGATACAACTTTTTCATAACTTTCAACATCTTCTTGATAATATTTTACAAGATGATGAAGATCACTTTTAGCACATGGATTTATTAATACTTGAAAACCAGATATTATTTCTTTATGATTGTTGAAACGATCATTTAATTGTTGTATTATAGAATCAATAAATGGAATAAAAAGAGATACTCTAAAATAATCTTCAGGATTTTCTGTAGAAAAATTATTTCTATGTTTTTGTCTTTTAGCAAGTCTTGGTATTTTTATTTCAATATCCATTTCATTTGATCTTTTAATAAGATTTTTAAACAAATCACTAAAGACAATTTTTGCATTTTCACGAATATTCATTAATATTTAATTCATTTAAAATAGTGTTGATGTGATTAATAGCTTCAACCAAGTCAATGTTTTTCTTTTGTAAGTAAACACTAAGAGGTTTAGTATACTGAAATAGTTTAATAATTACAGATAGACTAATGTTGAATTCTGAAGTTCCTAATGTTAAAAGTATTTGGTTAGCTTTTGTTGCTACATCCTTATCCAGTTATGTAATCATTTCTTCCAAACTATTCACAATGACAGGTAGAAAATTATAAATTGTTTCAACAGAACTATGACGATCTACCCAGCGGGTTGGACAAAGACGTTTTAGTTTTTCTTTATTTGAATGACAACCATCTTCTTTCATTCATACTTTCTTCTTTTTTAAACATTTCTAATTGTTCAGTGAAAAACTTTTGTCTTTTAGGTGTATTAAAAAATAAATAAATACTTTCAATGGTACCCATAGTATTTCTGATTTGTGGTAAATTACAAGAATATGATATTGAGAGATTAAGGTTATGAGAACTACAATGAATATACAGCGCAGTGGGATATTTGTTTTTAATTAATGTASCAACTCCATTAAATTTGCCACTCATAGTGGCAGCGCCATCATACCCTTGACCTCTTAAATGTTTGATATCTATGTTCAGACTTTTTAGTTCATTGATTATTGTGTCTGCTAGAGCTCATCCACTCACATCATGAACCGGTACAAACTTTAAAAAGTCCTCATGAATTATTTTATCAGTAGAATCAAAATATCTGGCACAAAGTGAAAACTGCTCAATACCGKAAATATCAGCCGTCTCATCAGCAATAATAGAAAAATATTTACATAAATTAATTTTGTTGACAATTTTTTTTGACACCACTGTATAACAAGCATCAACAATCTGGTTTTGTATTTTCCAGCTGATATACTGGGCATTTTTTTTCCAGTTTTCTCGACCTAATATTTGGCTATTATCTCCCGATATTCCAGTTGCGTTTATATAAAATCTCAATATTGCGCGAAAATTACCATCATTTTCTGTTGGTTCATTTAATTCCAAAGGGCCGTAATCACGATGACCTCTAATTGATATTCCCTGACGACCACAGAGTATCACAGACTTAATAACTGGCAAAATTATTTTTCTATAGTGATGTTACGAACTCTGATTTTTAAGGTCGAACCGAACCCGAACTAAACTCTTCTTTAAATTAACGAACTCGAACAGATCCGAACCTACATATTTTTAATCGAACTCGAACCGAACCGAACTTTTCAAAATATTTTATCGAACTCGAACCGAACATTAAAAAAATTCCAAAGGTTAAAAATGTATTATTCATTTATTGTTTACTATTTAGTATTTAGTATTTAGTATTTACTATAAACTAATGATTATCTTATAAAATATAAAGTTATTAATTAATAAACATTAAATAATAAAAAGTATAAACAATGGAAATTACAATTTATTTTTATAAATACATAAGTATTAATTATTAAATATTTAAGTACACTCATGATTTATGTTTAGAAAAAAAAATATCAAGTATTTATTTATTTAATTATATAATTTAAAATTTGATACACAATTTTAAATTATATAATTAAATATTGTCATGTAAGAACACCAATTTTTCAACCGATTGAGGTGATAGCCTTTGTCTTCGAGCTCACTTGTCCTGCTTTGGAAAACATCCGTTCGCTACAAACTGATGTTCCTGGAATACTAAGGTACTTCAATGCAACAGGAACCAAACTTGAAAATTTTTCACTATTAGTTTTCCACCATACAAGGGGATTTGATGTAGGAGGAAGAAGTGGTTGTTGAAAGTATTCCTGTATCTAAAAAAACAATGTATTTTCAATTTTGAATCTTTGAACTCCATTATAAAAATATAATATATTATTTACCTATTTAAACATTTATATTAACATTTAACAATTAATAAATAGATAAGCAAGAAGTAAGTGATCTTACCTCATTTTTAACACAGCTTGTTAGTCCTTCATTGTCAGTAATGGAGATTGATCGCTCTTGAAGAATACCTATCCCACAGTGTATTTGTTGGAACAGATACTGTTATGGGTTGTATATTTTGTTAGAAAAATTTTCTATTATCTTCTTTTTGTTGTTTTGAAGCGATATTTAGTTGATCGTGCACAGRAGGTGTTTTTCCTGTAATTACAGCAGACAAAGATTGAAAATCTAAAATACAGTTGGTATGATAATTTGTGCTTTCGTGCAATTTAAATTTTTCTGTAGCATGCTTCCAATTTTTGAATGTCTGATTACAAAGCTGTCCAAGCAATTGACCTCCTTTTTTAATGCCAAATAATACACAATACTTACAATAAACGCCATCAACTAAACTACTGTAAGCTATCCAATTCCATTTATTACGCCAAGAAAGTTTAAATTTTAAATTTGTATTGCCATGCAGCGTAATCGCAAAATTATGATTTTTACCTGGGGTCCAGATTGTTTTAAGCGCTTCAAGTTTTTCATTATTTGACATATGTTTACCAATATATGCCGTTATATCAAAAATGCTATGATACACTTCAGTTTCTTTAGAATCATTGGTACTTGTAGAACACTCGACTGAAAGAACACTTTGATCAGGAACTTTTGAAGAAATAGCAACAACTGATTTTACACCGAGATTATTAATATTAGTACTAGGTCTACTAGTAGTAAAAAAATCTTTTATAGAACTATTCATTGTTACTTTTTAAAACTATAAAGTATAAACAATAATATAAATCAATACGACTAATCGAAATGTATTGTATTTGATAACAGTTGTTGATAAATCAGATATCAAAAACCATAGTTTACTCTATATCTAGAACCATGGTCATGATAATAATTAATAAGGTGACAGATAACATGTAAACATGATTGTATTAAATTATTGGTTATTGCACTGTAGCAGTGTAGCCACAACATTACTTAATTGACGTAGTCGAAATCAATTTATATTTATAAATTTAATTTTTATTCAAGTTTATTGAGAAAATGAAATTAATTTTCTATTATACGTGCAAAGGGGGGGGGGGTCCAGACCCGGAGTCCACCCCCTTGGTTGCGCTCTGGACACATCTTCAGTCACAACATCAATTTTAAATGTGTTGTATAATTTTAACCCATCTGGTCCTAATTTATTGAGTAATCTTGCCACTTGAACTTGTTAGTTTTTGGTATTTGTCTCAGTTGCCATAAAGTATACTTCAATTTCTTGTTTGAAAATCTTGAAATTGTCATTTAAATTACCTATCAGTTTTAAATTTGCAGGTCGATTGAATTCCATGATGCCTTAATTGTATCTGTTTCAATCCAGCAAATAGGTACTTTATAATATTATTTCATAATATATACAACTGCGTCATGTTTTATTTGATATATATTTAAATTTTATTTAAGTACTTTTAATTAACTATGTAGACTTATTACAACTAAATTGAGTAAAAATTTTTGTATATATGATTCATTTAATGTGTTTCTTATCACATATGTAATGGTAATACTAATATAATGATAATAATATAAGTATAGTAGTATACAACACCAATCGACGTTCTGACATTTTCTAAAATTTTGCATCTGTGTGTAAAAAATTATGATAACATATCTAAATTAGGTACTGAATTTTGTTCAATACTGTTAACTTCTCGTCAACGTTTCACACACTCTTGAAAGGAAAACACAACTTTTAGCTATATGAGACAACTTTATTCAAAACAAATGTTACTTAACAGTAGAGCAGACCTCGCAAACACGGCGCGGGTCTACTCACTACACCGTTAGAACTGACACTACTCTAGTACAAGTGTACGACTAACTGCATGATATCAATTCACTAGATAGCAGCAGTTGCGCTATCTAGCGGAGTTTACAGTTGACCATCCTGCAAAAAAAATATATGTTGTCCTCAACATTTACAATTTATATGATAATGCAATAAGAAGGACTTAAAATTTAAACTATCAAGCTACCCTTGATCAAATGGGGCACCAAAATTTCAAAATAGTAATAATATAACAATTGAACAACTTAAATACAAAACTATTAAGACATATAAATATCAGTCCACTTCTTTTTCTTTCAACAGCCTCATTCCTCTCTCTTTTAGAGTAAATAGACAAATTCCAAAATAATAATATTTTAACATTTTGAACAACTTAAATACAAAATCATAATACACATTAGTCAGTACAAAAAAAAAAATTAATTATAATAATGAGCAAAAGTAATAATAATACTAAAAAAAAAAACATATAATAACCCCCTTTTTTTTTTCAACAATTAACAACTCATTCAACATAGTCCTTAGCCCAGCATGGAGGTTGACGTTTTCTAACAGGTCGGTCAGACTCTACCCTAGCTACTTCTCGTTTGCTTTCATCATTTTCCTTCAATTCAGGCTCCATTTCTTCGTGTAACTTCCACGATTTGAGTTGCATAACGTGTGCAGTTGTAGCGAAGCGACTCTTCTTAGAGGCCACTAGGTCTGTAACCCGATACACATCACCTGGCAACACTTCGGTGACAACTAATGGACCTCGGTACCGATCTTGAAGTTTAGTAGATTCACCCGTAGATGTAGGCGCACGTTTCATCACAACAACCTCTCCAATGGYGTACTTRATGTTATCGTGACGGCTTTTGTCAAAAGCTGACTTAGACTTCCTTTTTGATTCGTCCATATGTTCTCTGGCTTCCTCCCACAGATCCTTGGGTGTYGTCCATCCTTCAGCGGTTTGAGAAAACTCTCTCAAGGCTCCAAGCCGAAACCTCGGACGGTAACCGTGCAACAGTTCAAAGGGTATCTTGGAAGTCACCTTGCTTTCACTGTTATTAATACATCGTTGAACTTTTGACAACTCAAGATCCCATTTATTTTCCTCACATCCTTCGGTCATCAGGGMGGCCATCACCACACTGTGTACCCTCTCAACTTGACCATTTCCCCTGGGATGGCGCGATGAAGTCAACACCAGTTACGTTCTGCATAAGTCGTGTGAATTCTGCCACCGCGCCTGACAGTCCAAAAGGCATGCGCGTAAATTGGCCCGTTGTGTCAGCCGTGATAAATGCAGTTTTCTCAGCCGCCTGCCTTGTCAGAGGAATTTGTAAATATCCACTAGCCAGGTCCAACTGGATAAATAATCGTCCAAYTGCCAGCGACTCAAGCTGCTCGGACATATCCGGCAACGGGTAATGTTGTTTAATAGTCTGCTTGTTCAGTCTGCGGAAGTCCACACACAGCCTGCTCTTGTCTGCATGCTTCACGAGCAGTACTGGACTAGCATAAGGTGAAACGGTATCGATGACCACTCCGTTTGACTTCCAGTCCCGGACGATCTTCGCAATCTCTTCTCGGTCAGCTCTAGATGTCTTGTATGGTTTACAAACTACCGGTCGACTATTGGGAATCTCGTGAATGTCCACTGCCATCAAAAGTGTGCACCCGAGTTCACTTAGATTTTTCGCGAAACACCYTCTGTATTTATTCACCAGCTCCATTAAGCCATTCTTGTCGTCGACAGTCAAATCAGGGTTGACATACCCGAAATCTTCGATCGTCAAAGGTTCGTTCACAGGCGATTCACAGTCTACCTCAACTGCATGCAAATAATCCGCCTCATTGCCCAACACGCTAACAGTAGTTTCGGTCTCGCCGTTMCCCAACTCAGCTCGGTAGATATGCAAACGACCACCAACCTTGTGGTTGGCAAATGACATTTTAAAAACTTCATTGACAGAATTTTGTTGGACCACTTGATTTGAATTTACAATATGTTTAGCAGATTTTCCATGTCTCTTAATTTCAGTAAGGTGAGTACTCAAAAAAGAACTGCAGACCTTACAGTAAGCTACTTCTTTTTGTTTTGTGTTCATTTTTGTAGTAAGCCAATTTTTGTATTCTGGCWTAGTTAGCCATTTTTGATTAAACTTTCTAACAACAGTTGGTTTTTTTTTTTTTGCCTGTTGATAATTGAGAAGCTTCTTGTTCTTGTTCAATGACTAAACTTGGATCTGCAGTAAACAAACTCAACAAAGGTTCTGGATCGTCAATGTTTTCTGTTACTATTTCTTTTACAACCAATTGAGTAGGTTGAGTGTTAGGCACAATTTTTTTAAGCCATTTATCCATGGTTATTAAATTATTTTAGTAAATATTTATAAACAAAAAAGGTAACAGCTATAATTTACTTGATTACTAATAACTAATGAGAAGGTATAATGACTAATTGGCATTAATTATTAACTAATAATAAAGTAAAAACTATTAACAGTATTAACGTTTGTATTGTTATTTGTTTGTAATTTTGTATTTGTATGAGTAATGAGTATTGAATTTCGTATTATCGTGTTATCAGTTATCAGTTATAATTACTGTAAATTAATTACCACGGTTGCATAATATAAACAAGTTAKCTATTATTTTTATAATTTATTGGTATCATAGGAATAATATAATTATCTAGCCGGTATAATCACGATTTAAGATAATCGTAATTATTATCATGGGTATAATCTATGATTAAAAAAAAAAAAACTTATTACAGTATAATATTTCAATTTAATTTTCTATATATAGTATGTAATACCACATTTTTTTGTATTTTCATAAATGCCCCAAAAATACCACATTTTATACTATACCACACCATGTACCACAAGTGGATTAAATTACCACCGTATGGGGTAATTACCACATCATCGGCAACACTGTAGCATGATATCAATTCACTAGATAGCAGCAGTTGCGCTATCTAGCGGAGTTTACAATACTAGCTTCGAACAGTCGCCTTGTCTTTGTATCAATTACACGAGCACCAATATGAAATAAAATAAAACCAGCTAGATCCTTGACACCAAGTGCTTTAATAGCAGAAACATTTTCAGTAAATACATGAACAAATGAAGACAGTGACGGCAAAATCTTCTGTTCTGATGACTTTGATCCTTCAAAGTAATGTTTTTCCTCATGGATTCACAAATTTTTTGAGATGTTGGATATTCATCTATAATAATGTTTTTATATATTATAGTTTCTATTTACATGTAAAAGTGACAAACATTTGAAGATTATATTTTCAGTTAAAAATGCGTTATCAATTTTATAAATTTAATATGAGGTAGGTCGTAGGTAGGATATTATATATGTTTTCTTATAATAAAAATAATATTTTAAATTAATCCAATTACCTTGGTCATAAGATTCATGAACAGTTCTGCCACGTCAACGTTGAAATCGTCAATATCAGTCATGACCTTCCGTGTATACGATTTCATCGGTGACACGAATAGGCTTCTTGGTGTTGGTGTATCATCGTTTTCATATTTTTTTACTTCAGCAACAATATTTTGTATACTTCGTTCATTTATTCCACACGCTTCCGGAGTAATTTTTTGAGTTTTTTTTTTTTAAAACTCAGCAAATAAATTTTCCATAGTGGATAATTTTTTTTTWAAAACGTATACCCGCTAAATCACTTTTTTACTTTGACTGTGAAAATCGTGGTGTGTAAAAGTCGTCATTTTAAAAACACGTGATCAAAAATTGATGTATGCACAGCTAAATTCACAATAGATTACAGTACCGAACGCGCTAAGAGTCGATAAAAGACAGCGACATTTTAAAAGGTGCATGTTAATTGTTTTTTTCTCAAAACGTATAGTACCCGTCGCGTCAGTGGCCGGAGTCTACCGGTGTCATAGTCAATAGGTGGTAACCCTTTCTAGACCAAACCTAGAAAAACCAAACAATTTTAAAATTTTTTTTACCAATTCCATATATTTTTCTATGTTAAAAATGGAAACATTTTGAAAATACATAAAAATGTAGTTCATTATCCTTTTTTTGTCCTGGGACTCATGAGTCCCGTCAGTCATTTACGGTCTGGACTTAAAAGTCCCGTCAGCCATTTAGAGTAATTTTTTTTCCCATATAAGCAATGTATTTTTTATTATGAAATTAAGGACATTTATAAATTATATTTTTTAAAAATATAAATAGTTAAAACTTCAAACAAATTTTTAAACGTATTTGAAGTTTATGGAAAAAACTATAACTCAAAATCATCATATTATAGTTTATTTTTCTCCTTCACTAATATAATTATCTTACAATATAAGCATTAAAAAAAATTAATATTAATTTTATATTTAATTCATCTCATGGTATTGGACAAAACAATTTTTTTTGTCATTGAGACACAAATGTACTTTACAATGATTACAAATAGAAAATGGTCTATATTTCACACCTTTGGAACTACACACCTCACATCTTGCTCTTTTTTCTATGAACCTCGGCCAATGAACTCCTATATTACTTGTTCTGACATCTCGTGGCATGGAAAATTCATTTTTTCTTCGTTTCATGTTTTTTGGAGTTTGTGGTGACTGGTTTTTTTTTAGTTGTTTATTTGTTAAAAGCCCTTGCGCAACGGCTCTCCGAAATTGCAAAACAGTTATTTTTTCAAATAAATCACAATAAACTATATATGAGTTTACAAACATAATGTCTATAAGACCAAAAAAAATACGGTGCTACCATTTACGTGATTTCCTTTCCACATTATACAATGCCCTTAATCGGTCTGCCAAATCTACTCCACCCATGAAACGATTATAATCAGCAACTGCTGTAGGACACGGAACTGGATGTGATGTGCCATTTCTTTCTTTCCTTGTAACAGTTGTCGTTTCAGATCCATGGAAGTTTGAAATGATATGTACCGGCTTACTGTCCTTCCATTGTTCTTCTATCAGAGGTAATGGATAACGGTCCTTCACCGTTATTTTGTTCAGTGCCCGATAATCCACACAGAATCTACTTCCGCCGTCTTTCTTTTTGACCAATAGGATCGGAGATGCATATAGAGAATTGGAATCTGTTATTATACCGCATCCCTTCAAGTCTTCAGCCATTTCTCTCACTGTTCTTCGTTCTGATTCGCTCAATCGATAAGGACGGAAAGTAACTGGTTCGTTGGTAATAGTTATTATATCACATTCAGTACTTTTTACTTTGCCCAGTTCACTCATTTGGGTAGCAAAACAGTCTCGATATTTATTTATGAGTGTCTGTAATGCCAGTTGTTCTTCAGTTGTTAGTTGGTTACATGTTTAATGGACTCTACTTCAAAGTCTGATTTTTTGCACTGGGTTTCTGCCATCTCCGTACATAATATAGCTCTGCTTATTCTCTCATTTTCTTTTACATGGACGTCTGGCGTTGAAAGATTAATAATAGGCAACCGTGCCTTACCCTGGTCATCAGTAGTTATAACACAACTTGGAATACAGCAGTCATCTCTTATCTGTGCGTTAACAAATAAATCTAATGATTTGTCATCCGACTGTACCTCAATCACTCCAACATGCTTCGGTGAAATTACTTCTGTTTGTTTAGCYCACAAACTAATTACTCTTGGTGGCAGTTCTGGGATATCCATATCAAATACGTCGTTGCCTTCTTTAGTGTCTCCGTATATACGTAAAATGTCTCCCCGTTTGACTAGTACAACATGCGATTGTTCAGTGAATGGTTGACCAACTATAAGTGCTATGGTCTGTGCGTCACATATGCGTAGGGTGATCAAATATATCGGGGGGGCTGCAAAAATAATAATACTTAATAAGAAAAAAAAACACTAAACTAAATGAAAATAAGACATTTATTTGTTTTCAACTATAATTCCAAGCGTCTATTAGTTTT